AGCAAGTGAAGCCAGGCACGGTGGCACACGCCTGTAATTCTAGTACTTTGGGAGGCTAAGATGGGAGGCCAAGGGTTCAAGACCAGCCTGGGCAACATAGTGAGACCTTGTCTCTACAAAAAAAAAAAAATTAGTTGGGTGTGGTGGCATGGTGGTGTGTGTGTCTAATTCCAGCTACCCAGGAGGCTGAGTTGGAAGGCTCACCTGAGTCCAGGAGGTGGAGGGTGCTGTGAGCCATGATCATGCCAATGTACTCTAACATGGGCAACAGAGTGAGTCTCTGAAAAAATTTTGTCTTTTTATGAGTTTTTTTTTTTTTTTTTGAGTCGGAATCTCACTCTGTCACCTAGACTGGAATGCAGTGGCACGCTCCCGGCCACTGCAGCCTCGACCTGCTGGACTCCGGCGATCCTTCCACCTCAGCCTTCCAAGTAGCCGGAACTACAGGTGTGCGCTACCACGCCTGGCTAATTTTTTATGTATTGTAGAGATGAGGTCTCGCCAAGTTGCCCGGGTGGGTCTCAAACCCACAGGCTCAGGCAACCCACTCGCCTCGGCCTCCCAAAGTGCTGGGATGACAGGCTGAGCCACTGAGCCCAGCCTTGCTTTTTTTTTAAGCAGTAAAAGAGAAGAAAAATATATCTGTCTGTTGGAGTCTTTTGTCCATGGGTTACCAAGACCTGGGTGTTTTGGTCTCAGCAGCTGTTCTGGACAGAAGCTCCTCCTTGAGTAGATGTAACACACTACACTTGACATTCAACTGTCGGTTTTGCCCATCTGCCTTTCCTGGAGTCCACTGAATCTGATTTCGGGGTGCTTTGGCCTTCACTGAGCAGGGCAGCAGCACACCTGCCCTGTCCTCACTCAGGGCGGGTCCAGCTTTTTTACTTGATGCCAGATCCTCCTTGGTCTTTCCAGATGCTTCCCAGGTCACGTCCGCAGTGACCTCACACTGCTAGGCTCTGGAAAAGAGAAGGCAGCAGGTGTGACATAGCGGGAAGATGAAACTCTCAAAAAATTCAGGGGCCTCCACCTCAGGGAAGATCTAGAGTCAGGGCCTGGATCCAGGGAAGAAACACGGAGCTTCGTGGTTTATGGGATGGGGAAGGCAGCGTGTGCTCCCTGCACGCCCTAAGTTCCCAGGCCCATTCACCGAGGATCAGAAAAGCTCTGTTTTGTTCATTTGTTTGTTTGTTTGTTTGTTTGTTTGTTTGTTTTGAGTAGGTGTCTCACTCTGTCACCCAGGCTGGAGGGCAGTGGCACGCTTCCGGCCACTACAGCCTAGACTCGATGGGCTCATGTGATCCTTCCACCCCATCCTTCCAAGTAGCCGGAACTACAAGCACACGCCACCACACCTGGCTAATTTTGATTTATTATAGAGATGGGATCTCACCAAGTTGCCCAGGCTGGTCTTGAGTCCGTGGGCTCAGGCGATCCTCTCACTTCAGCCTCCCAAAGTGCTGGGATTATAGGCGTGAGTCACCATGCCTGGCCTTGTTATTTTTTATTTTTATTTTTTGAGTCAGGGTCTCACTCTGTTGCCCAGGCTGGAGTGCAGTGCCCCAACCACAGCTCACCACAGCCTCCACCTCCTGGGCTCAGGCAGTCCTTCTACCTCAGCCTCCTGAGTTGCTGGGACTACAGGTATGCACCACCACATCTGGCTTTTTTTTTTTTTTTTTTGCTATGTTGTCTAGATTGGTTTCAAACTCCCGGACTCAAGCAATCTTCCAGCCTCGGCCTGCCAAAGTGCTGGGATTACAGGTGTGAGCCACCGTACCTGGCTGAAAGCTTCACTTTAAGTGCGGCCAAATGATGGCAACGCCCTTGGTTGGTCTGGGCCTCAGTCTAAGCAGCTCCACTTGGCTTTGAGGACCCAGCTAACCTCAGGATGTCAGAGGTGTTGGTTCAGGAATCATTCTCTTAACACATATTGACTGGACATCTGTTATGTGTGCCAGGCACTTTGTTGGCTGCTGGTGAAGTGTGTGTGTGTGGGTGTGTGTGTGTGTGTGTGTGTGTGTGTGTGTGTAAGATGTGGAGCACCCATTTGTAATTAATGATACAAATGATGGTAAGAGCTACGTTCATTGAGCACTTCCTATGTTTGAGATGAAGCATGGCCACACAGCAGTTTGTGTTTGTTTGTTTTTTAAAGAAAGAGTTTTGCTCTGTTGCCCAGGTTGGAGGGCAGTGGCATGATCAGTAGCTCACTGTAACCTCGAACTCCTGGGCTCAAGTGATCCTCCTGCCTCAGCCTTCTGAGTAACTGGGACTACAGGTGAGCACCATCTCACCTGGCTAATTTATTTTATTTTTTTGGAGAGATGAGATCTTGCTATGTTGTCCAGGCTGGTCTTGAACTCCTGGGCTGAAGCAATCTTCAGCCTGCTTCAGCCTTCCAAAGTGCTGCGATTATGGGTATGAGCCACTGTACCTGGCCCCATGTACTGTTCTTACAGTGTGACATTGACAAGCCTCCAGAGAGAGGTGAGATCTTATGCTCTCTCCTCTTGAAACTGAGAGGACCTTCAAAATAGCCTTGACCAATGAAAAGAGGCAGAAACAGGACTAGAACATCAAGTACAGTTTCCACCTTCTTGGTATGCTTGTCTTAGGAACCCAGCCACCATGTTGTGGAGAAGCTCAAGCCACGTGGCGAGGCCCTGTGTGGATGTCCCAGCCACAGCCCTATATAGGCCCTCAGCCCTCAGCTGGCATCAACTGCCAGAAATGTGAGCGAACCAGCCTCCAGGTGATTCCAGCCCCAGCTTTTGAGACTTCCAGCAGAAGCCCTGGATGTCATGGAGCAGAGATAAACCACCCCCATTTTGTCCTGTCTTGATCCACAGGAGCCAAGAGAGAGCATAATAATTTTTACTTTTTTTTTTTCAGTTGGAGTCTCACTCTGTTGCCTAGGCTGGAGTGCAGTGGCTGCTCCCAGCCACCGCAGCCTCGACCTGCTGGGCTCAAGTAATCCTTCTGCCTCAGCCTTCCAAGTAGTTGGAACTACAGGCACACACCACCATGCCCGGCTAATTTTTTGATTTACTGTAGAGATGAGGTCTCGCCAAGTTGCCCAGTCTGATTTCGAACCTGTGGGCTCAGGCGATCCTCTCACCTCAGCCTCCCAAAGTGCTGGGATTATAGGCATGAGTCACCTCACCTGGCCAATTTTTACATTTTAAGCCACTAAGGTTAGGATAATTTATCATGCAGCAGTAGATAGTTAATGAAAGCTGCTGGTAATAGTGGCTTGAACAAACTAAAAGTTTAATTTCTGTTTCTCATTGGATCCTGGAGGTAGGCAACCCAGGGGCGATACGGGAGCTCACATGATGTCATCAGAAACCCAGGATATTTTATCTTGCTGCTTTTTTATCCCCAGCACATGGCTACAATTTTCAAGGTCACCTTCCGATCCAAAATGACTGCTGGAGTTCCAGCTATCACATATGCATTCCAGGCCAAATGCAGAATGAAGCAGAGAAGACAAAAATGGCCTTCACCCATGCTGTTCCTATTTCCAGGAGCATTGTTGGAAATCCCACCCAACACCTTCTGTTTATATTTTGTATCCTAGAATTCAGTCACATGGTATTACCATATGTACAAGGGAGACTGAAAACATTGCCTTTTTAGCTGGGCTCGTAGCCATCTGAAGTGAGAATGGAGCTTTGTTGTTGAGAAAGGGAGGAGAATGGCCAGTGGCCAGTGAGCTGTTGGTGACTGTGACATTAGGGCAGAATGGTGGGAGAAGGAAGACTCCCCCATGGGAGATGCTGGAACCCGCCCTGCTTCCTTTTTTTTTTTTTCCTTTTTGAGTCAGGGTCTCACTCTGTCGCTCAGGCTGGAGTGCAATGGCATGATCACAGCTCCCTGCAACCTCGACCTCCTGGGCTCAAGTGATCCCCCTGTCTCAGCCTCCCGAGTAGTTGGAACTATGGGACTACAGGAGCATGCCACCATGCCCAGCTAATTTTAAATTTTTTTGCAGAGACAACATCTCGCTGTGTTTTCCAGGCTGGTCTAGAACTTCTGGGCTCAAGCAATCCTCCTGCCTTGGTCTTCCAAAGTGCTGGATTACAGGTGTGAGCCACTGCACCTGGGCCACTGTTGCCTTCTTGAACATTTGGGCACCATCGGGTTTTCCATTTAAGTTGCTTCTGAACAAAGAGTTGGCTTCACTCCCAAGGAAGCCGGGCAGTGGGCTGTTGCACAGGAAAGTTCTGGTCTCGAACCCTCCCCACGTACTCAGCCGGCAGCTGGACGTTGTCACTTTTGGGCTCCACCATCTTCCATGGTTCCCATTTGCTCAGCTGGCTCCAGCTTAAAGACACACTTTGGGGTTTGATATGGAGGGCTTGGCCAACTCTCGCCTTCCATCTCCACATCACACCTTGGTTCACGTTCAGCTGCCCTCTGCCCTGTGTGAGGAAATCCTGGTCGTTCTCGGCATCCTTCAAAGGACATCAATAGCTTTTAGCACGCCTTTGTGTGGACTAGAAAAGAGTCCCAGCCCCATGCTGGGGGCTTGGACCGGTGCCCTGTAGGCTGAATTCCCCCCCCCCACTCGCCCCTGAGCTCAGTGGTCTCGCTCAGTGAACATCCTGAATACTGTTCATATGAGGCTGTCACCTCCAGGAAGCTTTCTGAGCTCTCCCAGTGAGGCCTTCCTTGGCCCTATTCTCTGTCTTCGGAGCCCATGCCAGCCTGCCCTGATTTGAGCTGGCCATTTCCAGCTTCGTGTCCTCCAACCTGTCCCCCAGATTGATAACACCAGTAGCCGCCAGGGGAACCGAACTCAAACCTGCGTCCCAGAGGCCCTAGGCTGGGCAGGGAGGTCCCCTTTCTCAGCTCACCCTGTTAGTGGAGCCCAACTCTGAGCTCCACTCCCTCACCCGCCACGAATCCATCATCATACCCCCGAACGAGGGTGGTCCACTGTGCTTGTAGTGACGGCCTTGAAGCCACTACTCAGGAAAGCGCATGAGAAGTTCCGTTTCATACCTTTATTTAATCTGCATCTTCTCTGCCTCCTCCCTCCCCCGCCAGCCCCTGAGAGGAGGTGGAGGCCCCAGTTGGGAGGGAAGGGACTAATCTCTCCTCCCTGGAGGGATAGTGTCCCCTGGGCCAGGCCCCACTGATGAAGGAAGCCTCCATGGCGGGGTGAGGGCATCGTCCAAAAGGCTGTGCCGAGGTCAGGGCCCCTCGGATGCCCTGTGGCCCTGGGTCCCAAGGATCATCAGGAAAGTGAGGCACAGAGAAGTCCAGGGGGCAATGAGAGGACGTCCCGGGGGTGGGGGTATGCGGCTGACCGAGGCAGACGTGGACTTCGGGAGGCAGGGCAGAGACCGGGGTGTGTGCGGGCCATGGCGGGGCCGTGAGAAGGAAGCTCAGGTGGTAAGGGGCGCCGGATGTGAGGGAGGGTGCAGTGGGCACCAGGGGAAACATTGGGGGGGCAAGGCTGTGCTCTGAGAACCAGGCTCCCAGCCAAGGGGCCCGCACTGCTGGCTCCGATCAGGGACTGGCCCTGAGTGGAGACAAGAGGACAGCAGGGAGGACCAGGGGAGGAGAACGGGAACACTGGGCGGGCGGGGAGTGGGGCCAAGGCTCACCCAGCTGCGCAGGGCCCCAAGTCGCCAATTTGTGCTTCTGGGTTGCTGGAGGGCTCCCAGGTGGCCTCAGTACCAGCAGGGAAGAGCCCACAGACAGCCCCAGGACTCCGCCCCCGTCTCAGGCTTTCTGGAAGCTTCCTCCCCTGCCCAGTGTGAGGGGCCCTCGAGCCAGAGCACCCATCATCTCAGGGGTTGGCACACGGTTGGGGGAAGCCATGCTGGGGTGGTTCACAGATTCAACGTAAAATGACCACGGGCCATTGCATTTTCATCTGCTTAGGGGCCCCCTACCCCCACCCCTGTGTGTGGCCATTCTGTTTTCCCCCATTTTGGACCATCAGGCATCTAGGCCCACGGTGGGATGGCGGGGCGGGGGCCGCTCAGGGGGCCACGGGGGGCGTCTCAGAGCGCCCCCTGCCCGTCCCCCTGGCAGCCGCTGTCCCCGTGAACAATGAGCACCGGGAAGTAGAGGGCGTCCTCGTAGCAGGGCGGGCTCTCCAGGGGCTCCGTGTCCTCTCCGCG